TATATCGTAGATAATGTTGGTTTCATCTTTTTCACTTGACTGACACAGTGTAGACTGAAAGTGATCTCATTAGTGTGCGGTCGACAGCTGCTTCTAAAGTTTTTGATAGTCCTGCAGTGATTTCAGAGATGTTCTTCACATATGGTGGGACGATTTTCTCTGTTTTTCTATTGGGTAACTTACTGCCGAGGAACTTTTATAATTACAATACTTCTCAATTTCCGGAAAGAATTCGAGATCTGTGGATAGTTGGTAAAGGCGAACTGATGAAGAGTACGACCATGGTTGAAACGACTCTCTGGAAGTTTTCATTTGGTTACCATTGTCTAACTGATATCGAATGGTGACGAAATCTATCGATCTAGCTCTATAATTTATTTCCACTGTCAACAGGTATGAAGGCATGCGCTCAATTCATAAACGGTACACGAATTTAAGAATGATGAGGTCGTTTCTGGGTGAGGTACTTGGGAATACGTTAGATACCTTAACAATATGCTTAGACTTATAATGTGCCAAGATACACATGATAACAGAAAGTAGCTCAAGTCATTAGTTCGATGGAGTATACATATTTTGGGTTATTCTAAGCATTTATCATCAGTTTTCTGTTGTTTCAAAATTCTAAATCTTTAGCTACTTGGGGATTAGGATTCACGTATCATTTACAAAATTTCATTGTCTTGCTTATTTGCTTTAAAAATAACTTTATCGATCTATTTCAAAATGAATCTGTTACTTGATAGACAAAAGAGGACCCTGATATCAATTTGAGAGCTTTATGAATATATGAGAATTGCTACGAATTGGAGGAGGTTAGAATTTATAGGTTGCCAATTGGGTTGGGTCTCAGTGGCTTAACTGTCTAGGAGCTCCCAGAAGGTCCTGGATTCAAACCCCACTGGGTGCGTGCTGTTGAGGAGTCTCAAACTAAGACGAAACAAGTGTCTAGTACTCTCCTGTTTTCCAATGGTTTTCTAACGGACATCAGCTCGTGATCATGCTCACATGGGAATTTATCTTTACACTGATAGCCAGTTATGCAGTGGATACATTTTTACGTTGAATAACATATATTAGTTATCATAGGATGACGAAATAAGTAATAATATTTTTCTGTCAAACATGATAGGCTGAATTCAATTACTAAAATATTGTGAAATGTCACACCTTGATGACGATGACTAGTCATAATAGATTCACATGGGATGGGGCAGGAAATCTGACGTCAGTTCAGTGTTATAAAAGGTAGTATGCACAATGTAGCATGCACTAAACAAGAGATATTAGTGTGGCGTAGGCTACTGATAAGATTTACCAGTAGTATGTATATATACAGATGTTTACTGGCATAAAATACATCAAAAAGCAGGGAGATGGATTTGATCTCAGAGAAAACAAAATGATACATCGTTGCGGAGATACATGAGACATGTGAAACGAACACAGAAAAACACAATATGAAGGAGGACCAGAAGTAGCACAACAACAAGGCTTTCATCTTCTACCGTTCGAATGTATGTTGCTGCCAGGACAATAATAACAATGATAATATAATAACGAAAAAGCTCTATTTCAAACAATATGCAAACACAAAGTACAGGAATTTTCAGCGTATTTAATTCCAAAATATTTTCCCTCCATAAAGAATTTACATGTAAATTAACAATCTAAGGTATATCATGTGACGCAGTGTTGTTGCCTATGAAGTGAGAGCAATTTATGCACGTTTTTTCCTTATTTTCTTCAAGAACTGCACAGCGTTTAGTTAGAAGCTAATTAAATTGGTGCAAAATAGTTCATGTATTTTGATGAATGGAAATTCCGATAGCCGAGTGATTTCAGCAGGCAGTCGTTACTGTAGTAAATAGTTCATTATGAGAGTGTTTTATCAATTTGTTTTATTTTATCTTCGACCTAACAGTTTTAGTCATAGTGCTTTGAAATGTATACTCTTCAATTTTGCATTTTTTCAGCTTTATCGAATTTTCCACCTACAACAACCTGAGATATTATTAGTAATATTATTTCCCTCATCAATATATGAATTCACTACCTTCATATTATTATTAATGTTGTTCCCTTGGGTTCCTAGAGGAACATACGGCTTCAACTGCACGTCTCCGTTTGCTTCTCTCTTCTGCTGTACTTTTCACTTGAGTCGAATCCATCTCCACTTTCTCCTACATATTTGTTTGGCAATTGGTTCTTGTTTTCTTTGTTCCCATAGCCTCTTGTTGGTGATTCTTACCGGCCATCTGATCTTCAGTATAGAGCGAAGACAGTTGTTGATAAAGGTCTCCAACCTGTTGAAAATATTCTTGGTGACCCGCCAAGTTTCTGATTCGTATAGCAAAACTGACTTGACGTTTGTATTAAAAATCCGAATTTTGTTGTTGATGCTGAGTGACGAAGATTTCCAGATTGGTTTCAGGTTGATGAATGTGTTTCTCGCCTTCCCGATTCCCGATTTGACATCCTCGTTGTCCGTTCCTCCTGTAGTTGAGACAATGCTCCCTAGACAAGTGAATGAAGTAACCTCTTTCAAATCCCTCCCGTTGATGGTGATTGGCACTGGATGTTGCTGCTGCTGTTGTTGGTTGGTTATTTTCATAACCTCCATCTTGTCTATGTTCACCTGGAGTCCTGTCTTTGCTGCTTCTTCGACCAGTTTGTCGGTTTTCGCTTGTAAGTCTTCGATTTTTTGTGACATCAAACATAAATCATCCACGCGCGAAATCCAGGTCTTCTAGGTTCTTCACGTCGGTCCAGGATATCCCTGTCTTCTCGTTTCCCACTATCTGACGCATAATCCAGTCCACCACAATTAGGAATATCATTGGTGATCATAAGCACCCTTGTCTGACTCCTGTGTTTACTCCAAATGCCTCGCTGAGTTTTCCGTTGTGGATCACTTGGCATGTGCTGTTGTCGTACAGCTGTTGAATAAGGTTGATGAATATTTTGGGTACGCCGTAGTACTCGAATAATTTCCAAATTACTTCGCGGTCAACGCTGTCGAAGGCCTTCTGAAAGTCTATAAAGTTGAGGTAGAGGTTTGAGAGCCTTCATATTTCGCATTGATTATTCTATAATGAACTGCTCACACAGCTATCTTACTATCTTCTATTTCATGCATACTTTTGTACTGGCTATTAATCTGACACATTTTATAAACTCGAATCAACTTGTCATTTTTCCTTCCCCAAAATGTATGAATCTATTATAACCATCATCATTGTGCATCAGTGGCACAGAGGTGGAATGCTCTCAGACCAATCATGTGATCCACGGTTTGATCCCCGGTCAACACACTCCTTTACTTCCCTAAGTCAGTAATAAGATTGTTAAAGAGGGAAGACTGGGTATGAGGCTAGCAACTTGATCGGTAAAAATAAACACTACTGCTACCGAAACTTCAAGCCTCTGTCTTGAGGCCCTGCGTTCTATTCGGAACGTAAAAGAATAAAAGAAACCATCATCATAGTCTCTCAATTCACAGTATTCTGTAGTTGAATTCAGTCCAGCGTCACAGAAATACTATTATTTTGTCACGCTATAAGTAATCGGTGCACGTGTGTCAGAATTTGTGGTCAGGCTATTGGTTAAGGAGAAAATGATTAAATAAGACTTTGTCTACTTATTAGTAGTTAAATGTATTAAATAAAAATATAGCAGCTACGAGAACACATATCAACTTTAGACATTTATACCCCTTTCGAATTTAAATAAAGTAAGAACAACAGCGGTTTGTGCAGAATTAAATGGTACCATCATTGCTCATTTTCGACTACCCATCAGCTCCGCTCACAGCCTTAAGATGTCATCTTTATGTTTATGTACAGAAACAATCTTAATATACCCAGAGAGTTCAAGTTTAAACAAATAATCAATATACGCATACAATGGTAAAATAATAATCATAATAATAATAATCATATTATTCCAAACAATAATAATCATACAGAATGGAATTTTCTTTAATAAGTGTTCAAATGAAAGAGAGAATACAGACATCCATTCACCTGGAAAAAGAAACACTGATGACACATAAATCGGGTCTTAGGCATTTAATGAAAACTGCTTCGGAAAATTCGGGGAGAATTGAACTATCCTGTCTAGTGATAACTTTATATGATTTCGTGAATTCTACCTCATGACCCATATCGACAGGATGCTTGGAAAGGTCACTATTAAGGCCTAGAAATTTAGACGTTTTGGTACATGTTCAGAAATTCAAAGGTTTTATTGGACACTAGTAACTAGAGTAATGTATCTAGTCCTTTCTTTGGTGTAGACTGAATTCTATCTGTCAAATTCGCTATATGGCTACCATCATGCTAGGTGGTTAGCCATCATAGTGCACTACACTTTGGATTGTTCATGTTAGATGGTTCGAGATTACCAGTAGGAAGCCTCTCCCGACCTAGTTTACGCGCTAGTTGGCACTTACCAGTCATCAAGGCGTATCTTCAACTGTGAAGTAACTGAACAATTCAAAGTCCATCACATTAGCGTGCCAGCTAGAATGGTGACCACATTGCAAACTTGACTGACTGATAGAATTCAGTCTGCACCAAACAAAGGGCTCGCCACATTAGGCTAATTAGTGCCCAATCAGAACATCCACTACAGTCCTACAGGAGATCAATCGCGATCCCAAAAAGATCAGTGGAAACTTCTCTGACCGCGGCACTGCGTCACACGGATTCGAATCTCTGACTGGTGAGTGTCAACAAGCAACAAACCTAGGTTCACCTGGGGCTTCCTAACAATTACCTCCAAACATCTAATATAATATCCAACACAGTCAGCCCATCATGAAGAGGATTACGTAATCAGGTCTCCCTATTTTTGAAGTCAAAACAACATAACAGACAGCAAAATATGTAAGATGTTTTTTATTATTATAAAATAATCAATACAAATAAAACAGATGCTAAAAATAAGAGATTTGACAAGCAAATTACCAAAAACAGAATCTCCCATAGTATATACCTGTTTTCCCATGGGAAAAGATTCATTACTACTGAAAAAAACGGGATGAATTATCCTTAAATTAGAAAGAAAAGCTTTTATAATCATTTCATATAATCAAAATAATAATAATAATGATAACAAGATTAGTAATAATAATAATAATAAAACATAATGGTAAAGCTGTTTATCAAGAGTTTCTCAATCGTTTTCCTGTTCTTTTTCTTCTTGAAAAACCACATTTTCTAATAATTTATTCACGTATTTATTAATGCGTAATCATGGATGCTGAATTAAATTATGAAGGTGATCAATATATAAGAAGACTAGCTTAGTAAAACAAAAATGTTGTTCAATGTGTTCAATTGAAGAAGGAAAAAAAAGAGTTGAAAATCTATCAGTCTTTTCTTGCACCAGTTGCTAAAAATAAACGACCTCCACCATGTGGCCGATGATTACTTATTGTTGTAGTTGTATAAGATGTTGTTGTTGTTTTTGTTTTAAGCGTATTACTAACATCATCACCAGTATCATGATGATTTGAGTTATTTGTATTTTTGACTGCATTCAAGTCGATGGTATGTTCTTTAGGATACGTTAAAGTGTATAGTGTACTATGAATAATTTTCTCTTCTGTAAATTCCCTCTCTGTCGTCATAGCTAACTCACGATCTCCAGTAGCATGTCGTCTACGTTCATGAGGACTTTGTGCTCCTGAGTGTGAACAACTTTGTTTACCAGTTGAAAGAGATGGTGAAAAGCTTCTTTGTGTCGCATTATTGATGCCAATATGATCAACTGAAGGTGTTGACTTCGACAGTTGTGTTATATGTTTAGTGTAGGTTTTATTTGGAGAATTTATTCGTCCATCAACTGGAGACCATGACCTCGACGCTGATGATGATGACTTTTCGTAATAATGATTCACATAGTGATGTTTAGTAGTTGGAGAATGACAACGTCTAGGCGACGGGGGTTTACGTAAACTTCCAGCTTTAACTAAATTCGCTGTGACCAGGCTATCCAAACTTTCAACTTCTATACAATCACCTGATGGTGATTTCGGCAGATATTTTTGCTGTAGATTAGGATCATCTAAACAGGTGACAGGTGATTTTTGACAACTGGATAAATTGACTCGAAATGATTTCACGTAGACTTTCTCCGGCGGTGGCCGAGGGATATCTTTAAGAAGAGTAGACTTTGAGGTTGAATATTTCGTATCATCATCATTATCGATTACACCAGCATCTTCATAATCAGTGTCATCCCCATGATCTCCGTTCTGTGAGTTTTCTTTCTGATTCACACCGACATATCGGTAACTTTTTGTCTCTAATATTTCTCGACTTGAGTCACCTGAGCTGTGATGAGATTTATTTTCAATAATTTCAAGTCTTTTTATCTTTTTCCATGAATCGCATGTTTTACGATTCTGTTTCAAATCGACAGCCATTAGACAAGCAAATATTGTCATTATCATTTTATGCTTTAGTTCAACTAAATCTTCAGGCATTGCATAAACTGTTGCACCGATTCTTCTAGCCAGAGTTATTGCATACTGGGCATTTATCAATTGTTCCTAAAATATATAGAAAAAATATAAAAAAAGCTATTTTCCAGGGCTTGTTCGTAGGTATTTGATATCGGAACTAGGGAACTATTGAAAACCTTCAGGGAGGAGTACTGGATAGCTGTTTTGTCTCACTAGTTTTGGACTCATCCGCGGTATGCACCCACTACCAGTGTTTCAACCTATGAATTTACTGAAACAAGGCCGGTTCATGAATTCTAACTTCTACAAATTTGTGGTTTTACTGCAAACTACCTGGAATCCTAGTGAGAAGTTGTGACAAGTGAGGTATATCCATCTGGACAGAAGTGAGAACAAATACCCAACAGCGATGATATTGACTTGTGCTGGTTGCGCTGAAATCACGAACTGTTAGAAGTCATAATTCATAGACTGGCTACTGAATTGCGTCCCAGTGACTGAATGGTATACGAGCTTGCTTTGCAACCAGAAGGCTCTGGGCTCGAAACCCAATGGGAACGCACAGATGATGAGCCCCAAACAAGGATGAAATAGTTGCGCAGTACTCCATGGTCTTCGACGGCTCTCAAATTGAAGTTAACTTATGATCAAAAGATTAGAATAAAGGTATAGTGCTATGTACTATCGATTGATTGGCCTGAGTAGTTGAATACCACTCATACTAATCAGTGGTGCTTGCTAGCCAAAAAGGTAATACATAACTCTATGCATTTATGCTTTCTTCTTGATTGCCATCTCATACTGTCATCTGAATAATTCCACTATCTAAAGGAAACTGTAATGAAGATTCACCTTCTAGAACTATGAAAATTGCAAATCACAAATTAATTTATAAAATAGAGACTGATTTGATGCTTTCTTCACCTCACTGATCGTTTAGCAAGAGGAATATCTTAAAAATTTTGTTAAGACTGATAACTGTTGACCGTTCTCTAGAATTAGATATTCACAATTATTAGAATAAAACCGGACTTGATAAACGAACTGTGAGGTATGCTGTCCTCTCATCTGTCTTCAAACAAAATCTTTCCACTCCGATTTAGTTTGACACCTATGTAACTGACCTCACAGTCATTACATGGTATTCGGTAAATTGTATGATTTTTATTATTTGGATCTATTGGGTACTTAATCAGATAAAGTTTATTACTGAGTAAGAGTTGGTTGGTTTGAATGCCACCGAAATTTCAGCCTCATTGAGAATCCTACGAAGGCTTCTGACATTCCTTCTTTATACGACAGCATTACAGAGGCTTTGAATTCCATGTTATTTTCGTCATTTTTATTGCTAAACTTATTTTTTATATGATTCTTTGTATAATTTTGAATAAATTCTACTGAATAGTTGTTCACTGGTATTATTTCCTTGATTCATTTGATTTCATTATTTAAGTCTTCTGGCCTACTAGTTGGGCTTCTAAGCCGATTATATAGACATTTAACTCAACCTGTCTTTACCAATTCTGGACAGGACGAATTAAAGTCTACACATTTATTGATGTATTCATTTCCTATAAATGCTAGCATCGAACCTACTCTGACTAGTTCCCGTTTTATTCTACAGTCTACGAGGGCCAACTCACCCTGTTTGTTTTCCAAATCAGAAGTGAAATGCATTCCGCCTACTAGTAAGTTTATATGTGTGAAGAACTAAGGGATAGGTTCAGATTTCAACACGGGGAATATGTCATCCACATATTTCCAGCATAAACTAGGAGCCAGATTACATGTCGTAAGAGCTACAGGTTCCCAGCTATCCAAAAATATTTTGATGTAGTTGTGTTCTCTGAGCTGGATGGTTTATGTGCGAAGCTTTCATTGCCCTACTAGGCAACATCTTCAGCGCATAATTCAATTCGTTGAAGTGAGCTTTTAGATTTCTCCACGGATTTATCAGTCATTTCTCCTGGTGACCCTGGATGTGATTAGTTGTTTTTGTGTGTTTTCACACCCTCCAAGCTACTTTGTATTGGAACTGATTGTTTCTTTGACTTGAACTTTGACCCTTTGTGTGTGAGATCTCCTTCTTATCGGTTGGTAAATATTTTGTATGTCGATGTGTCTACTGACTGACGATTCACTGGAATACCAGGCTTCTGAACATTGTCTAGAATTCTTCGTGTTTTCTCTGTCTAATGTTTGAACGTTGTTTGTCCCAGTCGAATTGATGTCCGTGGTTGTCTGTATGCAGCGATATGAGGGTGTGGATGTCATGTGTTTTGATGGCTAGCTTATGATCATGAATACGAAGACGAAGGGACGTCCATATTGGCTAGGACTCATCGCAGTACTCTCATCTCAAGGAAAATTGAAGAAAGATATCTCGTGGACGTCTTCCAATAGAATGGATATCCACGAAACGTCATCAAATGACATTTACCCCCAGACCAACCTACCAGATCAAATTCCTCCAAGTGAAGCACAAAAAAATCTCCCTACCTTATATAAAGGACATCTCAGAAATCACTAAAAGACTCTTCAAACCTTCAGGAATTGATGTCGCACACAAACCAACAAAATCACTCCACTCAACTCTATGTCAACCAAAAGAGTCAACAACGAAAGAAGGTAAAAACAACATCCATAAAATTAATTGCAACAATTACCAAAAACACTATAGTGACCAAAGTGGACGTCCCCTTCGTCTTCGTATTCATGATCATAAGCTAGCCATCAAAACACATGACATCCACACCCTCATATCGCTGCATACAGACAACCACGGACATCAATTCGACTGGGACAAACAACGTTCAAACATTAGACAGAGAAAACACGAAGAATTCTAGACAATGTTCAGAAGCCTGGTATTCCAGTGAATCGTCAGTCAGTAGACACATCGACATACAAAATATTTACCAACCGATAAGAAGGAGATCTCACACACAAAGGGTCAAAGTTCAAGTCAAAGAAACAATCAGTTCCAATACAAAGTAGCTTGGAGGGTGTGAAAACACACAAAAACAACTAATCACATCCAGGGTCACCAGGAGAAATGACTGATAAATTCGTGGAGAAATCTAAAAGCTCACTTCAACGAATTGAATTATGCGCTGAAGATGTTGCCTAGTAGGGCAATGAAAGCTTCGCACATAAACCATCCAGCTCAGAGAACACAATTGCATCAAAATCATCCACCTGAGCTATAAATCTTCGCCTGCTTGGGATTTCGGTGATCCCATTGCCACGGAATTTCTTTGTTCATTTTCTTTTTATTTTGGAATTTGAATACAATGATTATCGCACACGTGCAATCGGAATGACGCGACGTCTATATCGGAGAGATAGACAGAGAGGCAAAATGTACATAAGACAAATTGTGAATCCATGTGACTTAAATTGATATGATTATGAGCAGCAATAACTTATGCTCGAAACCTTGTCATCCAGTTGTTAATACTGCATCATCACTGTGTAATATTTACAATAAAGTTATCTAATATGGAATTTTACCAGGTAACCTGACGTCTCTAAATTCAACCTAAAGCGGATCCGATAATATTCAGAACTGTTCAACAATCTCCTTATTTTTCAGTAATCCACTGAAATGAATGCTTGCTCATGAAGAAAACCCCACTGAAATCAATCACAATCCTTACAATACTAGGAACTGGAATCTTCATTTCACATTATGAAAGCCGCAATATGAAAAAGTTCTAAGATATCCTCAAAACGTTAAGCAGAACATGCAAGAGATAATTCCCCAAATTCATAACGCTTAGCTGTTCACTTCCTGACATCTTACTGTTATTAATGTCCACTTGACATCACATATATTCATGTAACCCTCTACGTTATCCTGCATTCTACGTCCATCCTACTTTTTTCCCCAGTATCATAGCTTCTAAAAAGATCGCAGTCGTTGTTTCTTGCTAATTTAAGACATACTTTTGATGGACCTACAGTTAAATTTCACCATAAACGTTTCCAATGACAGTCCTTTATTGTGTCGAATATTTAGCAGACAGTGACTAGTGTCCAGTCGAAGTATCGAGTACAGTCCTAAAGGAGGTCAGTAGCTAGCCCAAATAACTCAGTGGAAAAGTCTGTGACTGTGGCAGCACTGGATGACACAAGTTCGAATCTCAGAAGGGAAATGAGTTACTTCAGTATTGCAGATACGCCTTTCTGACTTATAAGTGTCAACTAGCTTCCTTCTGATTGCCTCCAACCATCTAATATGAATTGGATTTTCAACTCCAATGTGAAGTCACTGCTACTATACGGATCAGAGACTTGCACTGCGCATCATAAAGAGCATCTCAAACAAACTACAGACTTTCATCAACAGTTGTCTTCGCTCAATAATCAAGATCAGATGGCCAGAAAAGATCAGCAGCAGAGATCTCTGAGAGCGAACCAACCAGGAACCGATTGTGAAACAAATAGGCAGGAAGAAACGCAGATGGATTGGCCATACTCTGAGGAAACCATCAAGTGACATCACTAGACAAGCCATTGCTCGAGTGGAAGCCGAAAGGGAAGCAGCAAGTTGGTCGTCAGTTCAAGGGTGACTTGGAGGAGGTCATGTGAAGAGGAGATGAAAACGTTTGGGCAGACATGGAGCCAGGTGAAGACTCTAGCAGAGAACCGAACGCAATGGAGATGAATGGCTGAAACCCTGTGTTCCTCTAGGACCTAAAGGAAACAATAATAATAATCTAATATGAACAATATTGTTTTCAATTCCGTTTTATAAATATATATAAAACTTACATTTTTTGTATTTCCCGGCAGAACAAGACTATAATCCACAGTATTTGGACGAATCGCTTCAATCAAATCAATGACAGCATGTGAATTCTTTAAATTTGGATCAGTAAATCCCAACGATGTGGAGATTTTCACTAATTTCCGCGCATTCAACAGCTTTTGATTAGCCCAATCAATAATACGTGTTTCTTCAATTGGATTCAATGCTCCACCATTTGTACAGTTTGTAGTTTTACCTGAAGTCAATTCTGCATCAGCTTCAGTTAATTGAGTTAGTAGCGATAATGTGTAAGCTCGCATAAGTTGCCATAATAATGCCAATGTCATTATTTGTTTGCCTTCGTATATATCGGCACCAGCAACACCGACTAAACTGAAGCCGAATTGTCGACCAAGTTTAATGACGTAATTACAATTTTCTGAATAATAAATGACAATGAAAAGAAGAGCAGAGTTATTTTTACATATTACTTGCAGTGTATATTCTGTGTCACTTTACTTTAAAAAGAAACAGTAGCCCTTTTTGTAATTTTAACTACTCGTTTTAAGCAGTAACTAGCTGTCTTTAGATGTGAATGTGGGGCTTCAACAGCACATCTCTGTTTGGTCCTGTTCTCTACGATTCTGTTTATCTGCAGATTCAGCGGCCTGATTAAAACTTGAGCTACCTATAACCTCCATCAATATATTGCATGTACTTTCTCCTATAAATTTAGTAAAATATTGTGGTGGTGTGATACAGACAATGTGTGTTAACGGAATTTTATGCTTAAATATTCCCACAGTTCAATACTGCGAACAGTATATCTGTTTGAACATTCTGTTCAATGTTAGAGTTGGAATGCTATTCCCACAGTTCAATATTGCATTGGAAACAGCATACTATGTATATTTGAACATTCTATTTCATGCTGTTTGATGTAAACCGAAATCACACCCCCAGTTAACGAATTGGTTAACGAATATAAACTCTAGCTATATAAACAGTGGTTTGATTAATGGAATATATACCTTGGCTCCTGTGTCTTGCTTTCTGTTGTTACATTTGGTGTCGCTGCCTGCTGACAAATGGAAAGCCTAGGCCCTGCAATTTTTGATGGAGAGATATGGATCTTCGGGCAGGACCTCGAGGCTGTTGCTCGGTTGAGGGGCGTTTAAGATCCATCAGAGATGAGGCGGTTACTTAGACCTCTGCTGCAAGGTCGGGCGTAGGCAACATATAGAAGTGTGAGGCGAAACACTCACGAATGCGCCCCAGAGTCAGGCAAACAGCTTCCGCATTGGGAAGGACCACACATGGTCACTGTGAGACGGCGCCACGTTAATACGATCACAAATGTAAACGAGCGTCTGAATTCCAGACAGCAAGATATAAGAACAAAGCTACCAGAACCAAGAAGACCGAACCAACTTCAGTCGAAAGTCTTTGACGGAGAGACGAGTGTGGAGAGAGCTGTCTGCAAGCCAAAGTTGTAGACAGCAATTTACGTCAATGTTTATGTTCCGAAACAGGGTCATGCGAAAAAACAGTAACATAGCTTAACGTTGAGGAACCCAACACCCAATCACAGCTGATACGACTCGCAGATATATGTCTTGACTGTCTTAGAAACGGTCACAAGCTGTACAGAATAACCTTCAGCAACAAAAAACCAATCACGAGAGGTTGCTTCTCCGCTGACAATACTGTATATAAAAATCTATAATATCTGTTGATTTTCTCAATAAACAATCCGTTGCCTGGCCCTTGTCTTCTGTCGTTACAAGAGTGTTGTTTACTCTAGCGGTTACTTAAAACATTTACAGATTACTAATTCGCAAGTTACTACTAAACATCAGGTAAAAAATCATTATCCTCGATGGATAGCAACTTAACTCTTGCTGAGTTGTGTTCTTGGTTCACAGAATATACTCCCGAACTTTTCGTGTATTTCTCGGAGACAAAGAAGAGATAGCATAATGGGATTAGTTCACAATTCAGGTCAGATAGGACTGTGTCCCACAATCTACTGCCAGCCAGATATGTCTGCCATACCCAGCGTTCGCTGTCCAAACAGATCATCGAACACTTACCAGCATGGTTTTACAAAGGAGAAAAACGATGCCCCTATACAGCTCTATCTTAGAACATTTAATATATTCGGGACACCAAGCCACACCTCAAACAAACTTCAAAGTCGTCTACAGAATACGAAGCAGTCTTCCTAAAAGTGTACGAATCAAACTTCTTCAAACTGCAGAAGCAATGGCGATTCACTTGCGAAGTCCTGAACTCTGCATAGAGAAGAAGTTCGTTCAATCACTACACTTGCGATGGACGTAATCTGTCTTAATTAATACCGGACAGGTAAATTCTCTTTCTTTCTGTCTCTTCATTAGTATTATTTTGTCTTTTCAAATGTAATATTTTGCATTTTCAACTTTCCTTTTCTCTACCTTCACCCCACCCGATTTAATTTCTACACCTCATTACCACTGTTACTAACTTGACCAACGCTCAATTTATGTTACGTCATCCAATTTGTTTGCTCAATTTTAGTCCTAATTTAAATGGCATTATCTTTACCTTTAATTACCTCTCTTGCTATCTTGACCTAAGTTGAAACATTTCAATCAATTATGTTACGTCATCTAATCTACCAACTCAATCTTACTTTAGTTACTGTAGAATTAACCCTGTTTCTATATTAGATCATTCTTGTTTTACCTAATTAGTTATCTAAACTTGACAAACCTCATGAACACACATAAAATAATTATAGATAAATGCTATTGTACAGCTATATGAATGAATTCGCCATCGAAAAGAGTCTCTTCGCTGAACGTTTTGTCTTTTCCATATGATTCAATGTGGGATTTTCAAGCTAGTTAATCTTTTATTTGAAGATCCTGGACGAAGGGAAAATATCACACAATAAACTCTGCTGAAAATTCTGTACAATTTGTGAACACTGTTCAGAATAAAGCAGTTATTATTATCATCACTTATTTGTAACCACTATTGCCTATAAGCATTCCTTCCCTCCTCACATGATCTCATCCATGTCACTGACGGACTGACGCGCAACTCTCTTCAGTACATTTTTAATGAAGAATAGGTTCTTGATTGGTTTGTTCCCAGAGTTCCTTATTGGTGATTTCTTCTGACCAGCAATCTGATCTTCACTACGAGGCAAAGACAGCTGTTGACGAGAATCTGTAGGCTATTTGAAATACTCCATGTGACCTGTCAAGTCTCTTAACCATATAAAAGCACTGACTTGTGATATTAATGCAGAAAATCCCAGTCGCTTTCTTTATGTTGAGTGCAACAGGTCTCCAGAATAATGATTTCTATTCGTCTGTGATTCCTCTGATAAATGAATCAAATATAATTCAGCAATAATGCATAATATCAGTTTTTGTTTGACTTACCAAGACATTGAAAATTTGCTTTAGCTGGAGTATCACAAATCGGTTCATGTACCGCGGTCCAGTCGACAGTATGTGGACGTACTGAATCAAATAATCGTAGTAATACTAATCCATCAGTTAGATCACAGAATAAATAATTAACACTTTTAGGGAAACCCAATGAATTAATCCAATTACGATAAGCTTGAATTAATAGTAAAAACCAAAATAAATGGATAAAACAGAATTAAATTTATTGCTACCAACAGAATTAGATACAAAAAAAATATGAACATGTTTTAGTGTATCAGAGAGGCTTGAACAACTGATAGATGGGTGGCGGCTAGATAGATGGATCAGCGTAAAGCAGAAGGGAACTCTCGAAGTCACCGAACACTCCGAATAAATAAACATGATTAGTCAAGCAGAAATCTTTGTGCTAGTAGTTCAGAGGTAGAACGCTCATCAACCTATTTCAAAGGTCTGAGGTTCGATCCTCAGCCGACACATTCCTGTACCTCGCTAAGTTGACAGTAAGGCCGGTAAAATGGATGGTTGAGCTGGGGTAAAATTTCGCCTCCTGAAACTTTAGAAATTTCTAATTGCAAATTTGCTTTACAAAGTGAAGCAGTTTGAGTTTTACTGTCAACAGTTATAAGCCAGTGATCGATAGCCCTCCATGCAGGTCATCTTACATAAATCAGACTAATAATAACAAACTCAGTATATTTTTGTCATATTTTTGACCTGACAAAGCCTAATATTTGCTTCTATTAATGATCTGGTATGAGTAACACATGTCTTAGTCAAATTATTGGGACAGAAGTTAACTAACTTACTTTGTTACACAAAATTTCAATAACCTTGTTGCTGGGTCTGAATGACAATGAACCTGTTACCTAGAGGAGATCACTTGTAAGGAGCTAAACCGCTGTTTTTGAGTGAATCATTGGTACAGTGTTAGACTGCCTGCCAACCACTCATATGATCTGGAGTTCAATTCCCCGCTGACGAGCGTACTCCTAAACCTCGCTTAACTAGTCGGTAGTAAGCCTGGTAAAGTAGGGAAGATTTGGCGTGAGGCCATCAAACCAACTTCGTAAGAATAAACGTCAGAGTTCTAGTTTCACTCCCTATATTCCATCTGGAATGCAAACAAATGAGAAACAACTCGGATACATATACTAGCTCTTTCGAATGAAGTAAAATAACAGTTTTTTTCCAAGTATTGGTTTTTGTAGGGATTTTGTTTGATTGGTTAGAGGATTTCATCATGATCTGACATCAGTTAGAGAACCAATGCAAAACGAGCTTTGAGCACTGGCCAGCTGTTTCGTCCTAGTTTGAGGCTCTTCATCAGTACGCAACCAACACAGGGGCTCGAACCCAGCACCTTCTGGTAAACACAATGCTAGTGAGCTCGTAGACCATTAACCCACTGGTACCCGATCAAACGGCCTATTAATTCTAAATCTGCCAATTCATGAGATAGTGCGACCACTTCACAATGTCTTCTTCATCGATGTGTTACTGCCTCATCTTCAATCTGGTCACGGCTTCCCCCTAGAACCCCAGGTCACTACCTGAATAGGTCCGGTCGCTAGTGAGCATCAGATCAATTTTTTTCAAGTATTGGTGCATACTGATGAAGAGTCCCAAACTAGGCTGACGAAACAACTGTCCAGTACCCCTTGCAGGTTTTCCAATGGTTCTCGAACTGATGTCAGCTCATGGTGAAATCCTCCAGCCAATTAAACAACAGTTTTAAACTACAGACATAATGTGTTCCTTATGAAAACACTCTCGAACTCTTGAAGTTCATTTTCAGTTCTCTATGATGAATTTACTTTAGAGGCTGCTCAGTCACTTAATATTGATGATGGAAATAATCTCTTTTTCCAATTACATACAACTCTAGCTAGACAATAATTAATTACCAAAATACACAAGTATTTTGTCTTGCTCTACGCAGGGCCATTGACATCTGGCCTAAATAATCGCTAAATATTTATTTGCTCACAATGAAATTCAGGAAATTATAAGAACCACTTTGTAAATCAATTTAAATTCACAGCCGATGGGCGCACTCTTTAAACCTGGCTTTGTTGAAAAGAAGCTTGGAAAAAGAGAACTTTTGGACGTAAGGCTATTAACCTCATCCAGGGAAAACAACACTTCTGTTACTGGAACTTCATAGCTTGTAGCTCTGTGTGTTCCAACCAGATTGCATGTGAACAGAAAAGAAATAACTGGAACAACAACGATGCTCCCGACTTAAAGTGAGCATATGTGAATTCCATTTGTAGAATCTAGTTGGATCGAGGATAATCTGTTTATTGTTGAAGCCCTTCATTTCAGCCAGTTAAGTACCAGAGAATAAAACAAAAATAATCCCTTTATAGGGTAATAATTTGAGATCGCCTTGAATTGGTAGACCGCTGTTGGTATAAAGTGTGATGATTGAATGTGGAATGAGTATTTGAATCGCAGCAAGATATGAACCAGAGGCCTCTGAATTACCAATCTCATGCTGTACCACCAATTGACCACTCTAAGGCTATTTCAGATTGTATCACGACCAATGAACTACTTTCCCTCCTGTTTCTAAAGATGTTATGATCAAGATTGACAGGTTAAGCGGTATGATGATAAAATGAAAGTAACGTATTATTTAATCCCTTGGCATATGAGCGTCGCCAGTCATAATTATAGCGAAATGATGACAAGGTTAACCGTTAACTGTTATAGCTCAAGTGGTACACAGTATGGTTAATAATTCGGAAGTCTGGGGTCCGAGTCCCTCCGCGGACCCGGCTTTCACTTCACTTCCATTTGCACGAACTGTACCTTTCAAAACGCCCCCCTAAATTGTTAGATATAATTAACACTCTGTAATGTTCTAGAGTTGGTTTGTAAGGATTAGTTTTGTTTTTACGAGTTGATCACGGATTGATATCAATTGGAGAACCATTGAAAACCATTTGGGAGTACTGGACAGCTGTTTCACCCCACTGGGTGCCTACTGCCGGTGATTCCAAAATCAAGGTGGAATTTTTGTCCAGTACTCCCTGGTTTTCAGTGGTTCTCTAACTGATATCAATCCGTGATCAACCAGTAAAAGCAAAACTAATCCTTACAAACCAAATATAGAAAATTAATCTGATGCTCGCTAGTGACTTGCTACACGACAGAGTATCCTGGAGTTCTAGTGAGAAGTCGGGATCAGTGAGGTCCAACCAGTCAAGTGTGAGGATGGATGTCCCACCGACGACACTGGTCGGTGGTCACGCTAAATCACGAAAAGGTAGAAGTTCAAATTCATGGGCTGGCCATTTAATCAGGTCCCAGTGGCTGAATGGTATGCGAGCTTACTCTGTAATATTATCAGAAAGATGGTGACTAGCAGTGAAATTCAGGGTGTGCCCTGCACTTCGTACTCATCATCTGAATGTACATGCATTCCCAGGGAGTTTATGAGTGATGCTGTCCCCTCTGAGACTCAAAACTTGCACTCGTCTTTTCAAACGCCAAAGCGTTATCCATTGAACTAATTATCCCATGAGCACAAGCAACCTCTTGAGCAACAGTTATCAATTAATGTTTCTATAAGATAATTTCATTTTTCCCGTTGGTTGATTGGACTGAAAAGTTTGGCCAAGGTTGATATGTCATCATCATGAAATATTATGTTAATCTTCAAACATCATTGAAGCATCTGTGCTAGCAGCCAACATATCAAGAGAGTTGGAATATTCCGATTCAATTAATCAACAACGGAAGCCTGATGTGAATAGGAAACATTCGAGATCCAATAGAATAAAAGCGTATTAGAGATGATAGAGTTTGAGACAACGCTCTTAAACATTCGTACAGCATAACATATTCACATCAGCACATCATTTAAATGTCTCCACTAAAGTGTTTAACAAATATAATTAAAATAAACAGTTAATATAAATTCAGTGGCTAAGTTAAAGTATCACGATCCAGGAGTGCAAATGCACCAGTGACGTTGAACTCATACCAGTCGCTGGATAACAAACGGGACCTACCACTATTGTAGCACTAATATGAACGATATTCACCAATCAAGGTGTGAATTTCATCCCGATGTCGTTTTGAAGTGCTGTTTAGGCATCACACAGCCTTAAATGTTCTGGTGGTGCTTCTATATACATCCAACGGTGTTCAGAAGCAGGTAGTGGACATGTATTTAGGCAGTACACAGTGTAGGAAACGAATGACTGTTCGTAATGGCAATTTACACACTCATTTCATTGTTTTCTAGGGACCTTCTTTTCTAAATCGAAACTGTTATTGCCGTAACTTTTGATATTAAAGACTGAAATGAGACGGAAAATTCCTTATTATCTAATATGCAATGGTTCCACCACTTCAAAGATATAGCCTCCTAGAACCTGAACACTATCACGCAGCTGTTAGGAGGAGTTGAGGTTATTGTTCACATCGATGTAACAGTTCTCATAAAGAAAAAATATAACTATGATCACCCTACAGCAAATAATGTTTAGGCATTATGAATTTACGGCACGAGACTTCAGAAGAGAATTGTGGAGGTGCCGAAACTATTCTACCAGTTATACAAAGGTGATTCATTCCTTGCACTGCTATTCAGAGTGACGAAAGCGAGGGTTTTATCCATCATCATGTGAATCACTTAGATGATGTCGTCAACCCCTTAACTGGGACCCATGTAATTTCAATCCAAGGCTTCTGATGTAGATTGGAACGCAGGAGAAGAGCAGCAAATTGATCACTAAAGAAACTCATTTTTACAGGTTTTCATCATGAGCTGACATTAGTTAGAGAACCATTGGGAAACCACCGTGGAGTACTGGACAGCTGTTTCGTCGGCCTAGTTTGGGACTCTTCATCAGTGGGCACCCACCGACAGGGTTCGAACTCAGGTCATTCTGGTTACAAGGCGAGCTCGTATACCATTAAGCCACTGGGACCCGATCCAATGGTCCTTGAATTCTAACTTCTGCCAATTCACGACGTAGTGCGACCCCAAGCCAATGTCTTCAGCGAGTAGTTGTCCTCACACCCGACTTGCTGCACCCTACTGGTCACGACTTCTCACTAAAACCTCAGGTAACTATCTACCTGAATAGGGCAAGTCACTAGTGAGCATCTCTAACTAATGTCAGCTCATGATGAAATCCTGTAACCAATCAAATCCCTACAAACCAACACTTGAATATCAATGAGATGCTCACTAGCGACTTGCCCTATTCAGGTAGATAGTTACCTGAGGTTCTAGTGAGAAGTCGTGACCAGTAGATTGCAGTAGGTTGGGTGCGAGGACAAATACTCGCTTAAGACACTGGCTAGGGGTCACGCTATGTCGTGAGTGCATTGGAAGAAGTTAGAATTCATGGGCCATTGGATCGGGTCCCAGTGGCTTAATGGTATACGAGCTCGCCTTGTAACCAGAAGGTCCTGGGTTCGAATTCGGGTGGGTGCGTACTGCTGGAGAGTCCCAAACTAGGACGAAACAGTTATGCAGTACTCCCACCCATTATAATTGGGAGATAATTTTAAGTCATGTCAGAAGAAAATATCCTGTTTAATGCGTTTTCGTGTATTTCTCTTGTAAGTAAACGTAATCTTTATGTAGAAAAGAAAAATGCCGGTTTTTCTGAGCGATAGCCTTAAGATCACTTGTGCATTCACCTTCCATTGATCATGATAATTTAACTTTACCAATTCATCAATCACACTGTTGACACAAACTTGCCTAGTAGGATGAAAGCAAAAGTTCGCAAAATGAAATAATAATGCCATTTATTCAATATATTATATAAACTGGACATGATATCAATAGAATAGAAACAGAGAAGCATATATATAGATCAAGAGATTAAGCTTCCTGATAACATCTCATTTCTTTTCTTGACCAGCCTACGAATTAATTAATTTCTGTAGCACTAGAAATCATGATAGAAGGTGTATATGATTCCAAAATTTAGTCCAGAACATGATCCGTTTTATGATGATAGCGAGAGGGAGGTGGTGGTAATGAAGCATCATGGTTTAAATGACGTTGTCTTCGGTGTTTACTTTGAAGCCAAACACTCGGTCTAATACAACATAAACTAAAACACTCACTTTTCTCTTCACGTGTCTCTTCAATTTCTGCAACTTGTTCTTCAACTTCTGGTGGTTTCTCTAATGCTGGATATCCATGGAATAGATTAGCTAGAAAGGCTAAATTTAATCTTTGTGATCCACTGACTATGTCTTCAGGTCGAACAAATACACGACAGTTTAATTGTTCAGCGTTTTGCAGGACCATTTCAGCTCGTTGAACAAGATCAACAGCATCTAAGATAGCCTATCAGAAAAGAAAGGATAATTTATTTTTAGTAATTTGTATGAAAGGAATGTCGTTCCAGGTTTGAGAGTAAAGTGCCTTCAGTTAGAGAAACATTAAAATCTAGGGAGTATTGGACAGCAGTTCTCCCCCCATTTGGGACTCTTCAGCAGTACACACCCATGCTCATACCGGCGATCGAATCCAGGACCTTCAGGTAACAAGCCAAGCTCGCTGTCTACTCTGTCAGTGAGGTGGAGTCCAGTGGCTCATCAGTTGTAACTTTTGCCAGCTCATGATAAATAGTTCTGAGGCTATCCGATATAATTGGCTAGTATTTGTCTTCACAATGGGCTTGATCATGGGTGCATAATGCCGAAGAGTCCCTAAATAGGCAATAACAGCTTTGCCTTATTCCCTTTATTCACTGGTTCTTTCACTAAAGACAGTTTATCATGGAGCTTGAAATTAATTAGTACTTTTCAGACCAACACTCAGAAATCCCATATTGATTTGTTTATTAGATGTATCACACAGTGAGTGAAACAGTATCATTTACTGGATGACAAAGTTTCAAACAAAATTTATTGTGGTTCATAATCATATCATCAAGTATAATCACACGACTTTGACACTTGAGTTTTATAGTTCTCTTTGTCCTCTCCTATTTGTCGTTGGGGTAGTAGAATTTTCCAGATATCTGAGTGGACAGGTGTTGAATCATTCCGAATACACGTATTTGCAGTTGATTCCATAAACAAAGCTTCCATTATCAATCTCCCTCCACCCTGCTGAGACATTAGATTTTAAAACTGTCATCCTATCCCATCATATTGTATGGTTGTGTGTAACTGCATGTAGTGCTATAGCTGAACTATTCTCTAGATTTCTTATCTTATTTGGGTCAACCAATCTAGATTTTGCTGCTAGGTTTTTATGCTCGGCTAGTCTGACTGCACCTGTTCTACTGTGTTGACCTATGTATTTGACCTGACAATCATTGCAGCAGGGTATTAGATAGACTAAATTGTTTTGTTTTAAAGGCTCCACAGGATTGATGCTTTAACCGACAAAGCTTGTTTCTAATTGAGTTTGTGTGGGGTTTGAATGCCAGCCGCTTTTATTCCTGCTTGTATTGTTAAGAATTCTGCGTAAGGTTTCCGAGATTCCTTCCTTGTATGGAATTACTACTGATGATTTAGATTCCTTATTGTTGGTATTGTCATTATTATTATTATTACCATCGCTTCTATCATTATTTATTTTATTTTTACATTTCCTTTTTCAAATCAAATGTCACAGGGTGGAGGGAGAGATTGATAACGGAAGCTTTGTTTATGGAATCAACTGCAAATACGTGTAATAAGAATAATTCAACACCTGTTCACTCAGATATCTGGAAAATTCTACTACCCCAACGACAAATAGGAGAGGACAAAGAGAACTATAAAACTCAAGTGTCAAAGTCGTGTGATTATACTTGATGATGTGATTATGAACCACAATAAATTTTGTTTGAAACTTTGTCATCCAGTAAATGATACTGTTTCACTCACTGTGTGATACATCTAATAAAGAAACTAATATGGAATTACTTACTTCCACAGTGCCCAAGTTCTACACATGTATTAACAACACTCATAAACGTTGTTCCACGTATACATGTTTTATAAGTATATACAGTCCACTTCATTCGCAAGCTGTTTACAAACTAATGGTCATCTTTTGCTGTTTTGAGGATGAGAATGTATTAGTTAACTGCCTTAGAAATTTCACTCACTTTAGGAACTGGGTTGCCTTTAGTGGGTCAGCTGTTGACTAAATTTTGATACTCATAAAACACTCCTAATCTTTGATGTCGATATGGAGTCAAGCGAACTATCAAACGCTCTTTTCTTTGTATAACTCTACGGCTGTGGGAATTTGCTGATGCGAAATCTTCACTTGAAAAGACTAGACGTTTCATCTGACATCTGGTAGAGCAATGCGGTAAGTAATCTGTAGATTGGACTTAAGATGTTTACTAGGGAAAGGTAAGTCGAAGATGTTATAAGTCTTTACTACCTGAAAAATCTAAAATATATACTTTACAAATACAGAGCCATGGCTCCTCCTGGTGATTAATCTTGGATAAGGTACAGTTATGCTAGAAAAGAGAGTGAGGTAGTCCATTGTGACTACTTGAATTGATGCCAGTCTATGAACAATTCCACGTTGATTCATCAGTTGGTCCCTGGTTTGGAAACTTTGTAGTTACGAAGTCAGAATCATTAGAAATGAACTAAAATTTCTTGAAGATTGTTGTCTAATTTTAATTGCATAACTGACATATACTGTCTTCTCCAAGTTTCTGTGAGTCCTTAATTTTTACCTCCATGGTGCTGCGAAATTTCCCTCCTGAGCCTCAAAGGATCTTGGATGAAGAAGTTGTTTACTACACTGCATTTGAAGTTTCTCAACACACTAAAGATTCTTTAGAGAAGGCGTCAGTGTACACGAACGAAAAGAATCGAACAACTTTTCAACCTCACCAGGATTAATACTCGTATGAAGTTTCTAGTATCGTTGTAGAAGAATGTAACTGTACGCACTTATATTGCATAAAAGTTAAACGTTTACTTTCACTGCACTCAAAAAATATGAAAAAAGACTACTGCTTACTGATATATTTATCAGTAGTTAAAAATAAATACCTAAATTTTTCACTTACACGTGCTGAATGCAAATATGGTTTCTTCTCCTGTGGAGCGATTTTTTCCACAAGATAAGCGTAAACTTCTGAATTCTACAAATAGGCCAGAAAAAAATTATGAAAGATCCGATGAGAAGTACTGAAAATTTGTTAACAGTCTTTAACACTTAAAATGCAAAAAGGAAAATTCTTATCACCTAATAAAATATCCCATAAAGGTGGCAATCACAGCTGACTCGCACAAGGAACAGTGATAAATTGTTTAAAGTGATGACTGTTGGATCTTAGACTCAGCTGAAATACCACCTGTCAGTTGTAAGCTGACAGGTCCAACTGACTTATCGTCAATGAGATTAAACATATATATATATCGTCAGTCAAGTTTGAAATGTGGCCACTAGATGACTAGCCGTCATGATGCACTGCAGGCTATCAGCCTCCAGCGAACTAACATCTACAATTCAAGGTGCATTGTGAAGGCGATCTACCTGGAATAGTGAACACATTGCAAACTTCACTGACTGATAGGATTCGGTCTGCTGCAAACGAAGGACTAGGCACATTACACTAGTTACTAACTAGTGTCCAATCAAAATATTCAAAACAGTCCTAAAGGAAGTCAATCCCGAGCTCAAATAGCTCAGTGGTAACGTCTCTGACTATGTGCAGCACTGGGTGACGCGGGTTTGAATCTCAGAAGGGACATGACTTCCTTCAAGATTGCATATACACCTTGCTGATGAGTGCCAATTAGAACGAAACCTAGGTCAGGCGGGGCTTCCTGTGGCCGATGACCTCCAACTATCTAACATCATTCAGACTTCTACTAGACATGAAGTACATTTTTCGTGAAGAAATACAGATTAACAAATTAAATAAAATAAAAAGAACCAAAACTCTTAAGTGAAAATAGAGCTGTTAACACTGACAGGATATCTTTTAAGTGCAGCAGGATACAAACGAAAAATGGGGATATGACTGATTGGTACCCGGCTTTCAGAGAAAGAGTCCTCCGTTCGAATCTTGCTCCATCTAATTCATCTTGAACAACTGGATAATATCAACAGTTCACCTGTTGCTATGGAGCCAGATACATCAGCCGTTCGACGCGCATCCTGTCAAAAAGGATGGAAGAACGCTATCCAGCGTGGCTTCAGAAAAGAAGTAGTGACCATATTAGGAGTGCAATAATCGAACATCTCGTCACCCCTGGTCATTCCATCTCGACCAATGCCTCCCCCTTCAAAGTAATCTACAAAGTGAAGAACAACCTGCCAAAGACAATAGGTTTCCATCTTCTTTGCATCGCAGAAACCCTAGCCATTCAGTTAGAAGAACCAGAACTAGGCATACAAAAGAAAATTATTCGACCGCTTCTACTACCATGGTAACAATTCTGTTGATTTGATTTAACTTCTGCCTGTTTGCTTGTTTTTCTAACTACGTAAAAACCCTTACGTAATTCCGTATGTTATTTTGTTTCTATGTACAACCTGAACATAACTCTTTCATCTAACTATTCATGTTATTACGTAACTCTTCTTTAACAATCGTTTGTGACAACTCATCATTTTTGTTACACTACCCTCTTATATCAACATCCAATTCTTCTGAACTTACTAATTGTATTTTCGTTTGGCAAATTTAATTTACACACACACATAAAAAACAACCATATTTATTTGCGGTTGTCCAACTATGAAAATGAATTCGCCGTAGAAAAGAAACTCTTCGCTGAACTACTGGTCTTCTGTCTATTAATATCATCAGCCACCACATAATCAATGTGGCTTACAGCCTAATACACAAAAGAAATCCTCCAGGTAAATGAGTATAAAAGGCATTTATGATTGTCAAAAGAAAGGTGGTTGTATGGTATTCATAACATGCAGACAATTTGGTCTAATTCAATTTTAGATTTTCCCGTCGATTGATAGGACCGAAGTGCTCGGTCTCAAATAGGACGAAATGCGCATCCTGGATTCCATTGCTAGTCACCATCCACCAATTACCTTCAGAAATTTTAGTCGTCATCACTAATATAATCAATATAAGCATTTGCTATTCAAGTGTTGGTTTGTAGGGATTTGATTGATTACAGGATTTTCATCATGAGCTGACATTAGTTAGAGAACCATTGGAAAACCTGGGAGTACTGGACAGCTGTTTCGTCCTAGTTTGGGACTCTTCATCAGTACACACCCACAGGGATTCGAACCCAGGACCTTCTGGTTACATGGCGAGCTCGTATACGATTAAGCCACTGGGACCCGATCCAGTGGCCAGTCCATGAATTATAACTTCTGCCAATTCACGACATAGCGCGACCCCTAGCCAATGTCTTTGGCAAGTATCTGTCCTCACACCCGACCTGCTGCATCCTACTGGTCAAGACTTCTCACTAGAACCCCAGGCAAGCAGGTCGGGCGTGAGGACAAATACTCGGACAAATCCCGGTGGGTGTGTACTGATGAAGAGTCCCAAACTAGGACGAAACCGCTGTCCAGTACTCCCAGGTTTTCCAATGGTTCTCTAACTAATGTCAGCTCATGATGAAAATCCAATAAGCATTTGCTTTGGATACATCTACCTTGTTGACTCATCAATCCACTTTCACATTCACATAAACCTCCCCCACCCCCACACACGCACACACACACAGAGTTCCGCATACACAAATATCACCGGAACTAGTCATCTCCACAGCATACAGAAAGGATAATCTGCCAAGCTGTTCACTCTATTTGTTTTCTCAATATCACCACCTGTATAGCGTCATTTCAGGGTAACATATTTAGTAAAAAAAAGAGAGAAAGATAGCAGAAAAAAAAGGGCGATGACTCTAACTGAATAAGATTATGTAAATGAGTTGAGTGAATGTCATTGAGGTGCTTTCGTAAATGTGACTGTGTGCAAGCGTGCGTGCGTGTGTCCATGGATAAGTCAAGCAAAATTATCACCTGATACCTCTATATTTCAGCAATCATCATATTATTTATTGTAAAAGATTATATAATACTTAGAGTAACGTTCATTCAAATAATGACGGATACACCAAGAGAATGATACTTATGAGAAGACAATTATTCTCTGCATATGTATGCACATGTATGCTTAACATGCCTAATTATTCTGCAAGAGATTATTAGCATATCGAAATAAATTGTTCATTTTGCTGTGATACTGATTGATGAAAAATACTTAATCGGACACGTGCGTGTATCACTCATATTCGAAGAAGGTGAGACCTTGTTTGCATATTCTATGAACGCACATTTATCCATATATATGCATCAATGGAAAATAGGTAAGTACATATACGAATCGAATTGATTAGATAGTTATCCAAACTAATGTGCGAGTATTATTCGTCTTATGACTATTTTAACGTAACATTTACATGAATAAAATGGTGTTATTCGTATTATTATTATAATTCTAAGAGTAAAAAGGAAACTGAGCATTGTTTCCTGGGTGTAGTCAACTTCCGAAAATGTTTAAATACGCCTTCATAGTAAGGAACAATTAGTTCTTCTCTATTCTTATATCAAGATGTTCAAGTGTAAGTTTGTAGTGATTGGATTGGATTGGTTACAAGATTTCATCATGAGCTTACATCAGTAAGAGAACCATTGGAAAAACCCCGGGGAGGAGTACTGGACAGTTGTTTTGTAAGCCTAATTTGGGACATTTCATTAGTGTCCATCCACCAATGGGGTTCAAACCCAGGGCCTTCTGGTTACAAGGCGAGCTCGTAGACCCAACCCAGCTTCTGCCAGTTCACGATATAATGTATCATTTATTATTGTTCCCTTACTTTCCGAGTGGAATATAGGGCTTCAACAACACATCTCCACTTTGTTCTGTTTTCTGACGTCCTCTTCATCTCCGTCTCCCCAAAACACGATCTCCTCCATGTCACCCTCGCATCGACGACCTACTCGTCGCTTCCCATTTGGATTCCACCCGAGGGTCTGGCGTACGATGTCATTCGCCGGCCTTCTCAATGCATGCTCGATCCATCTGTATTTTCTCCTACATATTTGTTGAGCGATCGGCTCTTGCTTGTTGGTTTGTTCCCAACCAGGCTTTCTTGTTGCCTATTCTTTCCGGCCATTTGATCTTCAGCATGGAGCCAGGAAAGACAGCTGTTGATGAAATTTCTTAACCTGTTGGAAATCCCTTTCGTTACCCACTCAACAAGTTTCTAAATCCTATAGAAGAACTGACCGACTTAGTATTGGTGCTTAAAATCCAAATCCACTTCTTTATGCTGAGTGCAAAATATTTCCAAACTGGTATCAGATTAATGGAGGTGTATCTTGCCTTTCCGGTTCTGCCTGGCTTTGATATCTTCATCCGCTCCGACTGCCTGTAGTTGAAACGATGCTTCCCAGATAAGTGAAGGAAATAACCTCTGTTAAATCTCTCCCGTTGATAGTGATTGGTGCTGGTTATTGTTGTTGTGGCGGCTCGTTGGTTATCTTCATCACCTCCGTCTTCTCTGTGTTCACCTGCAGTCCTATTTTCGTTGCCTCTTCAGCCAGTTTATCGGTTTTCGCTAGCAAGTCTTCTAGTTTTTGTGACATCAGACATATATCATCTACGAAAGCCATATATATATATATATATATAACGTAACTACTAGCTAATGTCAAACATGACGAGTATTTGTCTTCATACGCGATCTGCTGTACCCCACTGGTCATAATTTCCCCACTAGAATCCTGGTAACTACCTAAATGAATAGGTCCAGTCTCTAGTGAGTATCAGATTAATACTCAAGTGTTGTTTGCAGAGATTTGATCCGTTATACGATTTCATCATGTTAATACTCAAGACTAATCTCTTCCTCATGTTTTACGTAATCTGTGGCAATCAGTATAAGGAACAAGAATAGGATTTCTAGCATTAATGTCAAATCGGTCACTGCTTCTGTACAGTTCAGAGACAAAATCATTCCCAACAAGCTGATGCACACAAGACTTTCGAAGTTAAGACATTCCTGATTGTAGAGGAATGCATCATGCAACAGATCATGGGGAGGGAGAAGACTAGCAAACGTCGGACCAACAAGAAGCCTCTAGGAGACCTGAAGTGCATGGATAATTTATCTTTAATCCAAGTAAATTCGAAATCTGCAGTCAAAAGCCAAGAAGCTGGAGAAGAAGCAACTAAGACACAAAACTTCAAGTGTACATAGAGAATACATAGGTGGTGATGACACCTAACCAATAACAATGAAAAGCACAAATCAACATAAACAGGAGAAATTTGAAGAAAGTCACCTCCATTGTTTACCTAGACGAATAGTATCGTTCCAACTGCAGGCGCCGCTGGTGAAGATGTCAAAGTCAGCGAGGATCGCCATTTAAAAAGCAACGCAAACTCTCATTTCTCTGAAATCCGTCTGGATATCTACTGCAGCACCATTTAGATCTCAAACACTAGTGTCAAGTCAGCCACTGCTTTTATAAGGTTCAGAAATTTCTCATATAAACAAAAGCATCTCCAGGCATCTACAGTTCTACCATATAAGGAGGGGACATCTGAGACTCTACGTAGGATTCTTAATAAAGTAGGAATTAGGGTGGCATTTAAACCTACAAACTCACTCGGGTAGAACAAGCTCTGTAGGTTAAATGACCCTTTCGGTGCACCCACTTAGACAAAATCAAATAATTTACAAAATACCTTGCAGTGACTGTGAGTTAATTCAACTACATGGGTCAAACTAATAGATCAGGAGTAGTCAGATTATCAGAACATAAGAATTTAGCTAAGGTTAGAATGGCAGAACCCTTGAAGATAAGTAATTTAGAAAAATAACTCACAATTGCACTGCATGCACTAACACACAACCACACAATAGCATGGTGGGAGAGGGTTTAAATTCTAAGAAGTATTATAAGTAGATGGAGAGAGAAAGAGAGAAGTTGGTTACTGAATCCTGCGTTCATTGAGTCTACACCCAACACAACACATGCAATAGAAGTGACTCACTCATACCGGAAATAAGGAAAATATTACTACCAATCAAATCAAGCGTTGAAAAATAATAGAATTATATAAACAAAGTGAGAAAGTTGTGTGAGTACCTTGATATGATTATGAGTGGCAATGAGAAATTGTGCTCGAAAAGTGGTCATCAGTAAATATTACTGTATAACACACTGTGCGATTTTATTAAAATAAATTTTACCCATAATGGAATGGTACTGAAGAATTTCATCAACAACTGCCTTTACTCCACACTGAAGATCAGATGGTCAGAAAAGAATAACGACAAAAAACTTTAGAAACAAATCAACAAAAAACCTATTGCCCAAAAAATATGCCCCAGTGAATGTAGATGAACTGGATACACTTTGTGAAGACTATTGAGTTAGATCACATGCAGTGTAAGCTCTCAAAGTGAAACTGAAGGAGAAACGATGATTTGGAAGTGAGTCCGAGAATGACATGGACAAGATCATGTTGGAGAGGGGGAGGGAGAGGGGCAGATGAAAACTTCTGAGAGACCATGAAGACAGCTATAAATAGGACTTCAGAGGACAGGACAAAACAGAAGTGTGCTGTTGAAGCCCTATGTTCCAAATGGAACTCAAGGGAACAGCAAAAAATATAGTAACTCTAAGAATCAGTCTTCTGACTAATGTATACGATGTAGTTTTACATTTCTTCCTTTATTTTACTTTACAAACTTTGGGTATTAAACTTCCGTCTTCCCTGTTTACCACCTTTCATTTAAGGTGAAGTAATAACGATGTAGCTGTCTGAAAAATGTTCCAGTTTTCCTAAACTCTTTCTTATTTATTCCAGACAAAATCTCAATAATCACCATTACTCTTTGATTTCGTTGTATTCTCTAAACTGGTTGGTTTTATTGTGAAACTTTCGTTATCCTTCTAGACAGCATCTTCAGCACATAAGGAAAACAAAAGCTTAGCACTAAAAATTAACCAGCTCAGAGAATAAAGCAAAGTCAAAATCATTGATCCACCTGAGCCACAACAAATCTCCTTAATTATTTCCATTTCGATGTTACTGTTCGAGTTCAGTTGGTGTGCAGGTATAGGTTATCGTGTTCAGATATTTACGAAATATATCAATTTATTACATCGTTATAGAAAATAAAGCAATTTCTCAGAATGACGATGGAAACTAAACTGCGAGGTGAACTTAACTCGGGTCCCAGTGGCTTAATGGCCTACGAACTTGCTAGCCTTGTAACCAGAAGGTCCTGGGTTCGAGCCCCGTTGGGTGTGTGCTCATGAAGAGCCCCAAAACTGGGAAGAAACAAGTGACCAGTACACCTTGGTGGTTTTCCAGTGCTTTTCTAAAGTGATGTCAGCTCAGCGGTTAGGACGTTTGCCAACTATGTACGTGGTCCGGAGTTCGATCCCCAGGTGACGCACTCCTAAAATCAACGGAAGGCCTGTTAAATTCAGCCTACCGATACCACATTCTGAAAATTCCATACCTGTACCAAAAATACTGTGTGGAATGAAGCTGTAATACATATATATATAATAAATGTCTCAAATGTAACTTACTCGAACATCAAATGAAAAATTCTCCATACGTGTACCACTTTCAGTCCCCTTCAAATGATAATTTACCCAACGAATTAATATTTCTTCAGGGGATAGCTTAGCAAAATCATTAATTGTTTCTTCACCTTCAAGTAGAGTGGCTAGTTCTGCATGTGCAACTACATTTATCTGCTTTAATAATCCAATCTAGTGTTAAATAGAATAAACAGGAAATATTAAAGGTTTTAGGAAATAGTACACTAGGCAAATGTTCATTTGTGTGCATATATATACCCAATAGAAGCATCTAGTGATCTGTTAATGTCCCTGATATACCTTACCGTTGAAGTCTGATGGCAACAATAATTACTATGGAGCATAAAGGTTAGGATGACAACAATTACCTTACTGTTGAAGACATGCTATAATGATGAGTGTGAGTTTTTTACGATTAAGATACAAAAGATGGTTACAGATTCGATCATAAGTTGACATCAGTTACAGAACCATTGGAAAACCACTAGGGTATACTGGACAGCAGTTTCGTCTGCCTAGTTTGAAGCTTCTCAGCAGTGGGTTCCACTAAGTCTGGTAAGAGGTCACTCACGTGCCTAGGAAATCACTTGGTGGTTGCTCTACATATATATCACGAATTAGCAGAAGTTAGAATTCATGGGTCATTGAGTCTGGTCCCATTGGTCGAATGATTCACATGGTCATCCTTTTACGGGAAGGTCAGGGGTTTGAACCTCTATGGGTGACTACTGATGGGGAGTTCCAAACTACGGTGACGAAACAGCCGACCAGTACTCCATGATGGTTTTCTAGTGGTTCTCTAACTGATTTCAACTCATGATCAAACTTCTTAACCAATCAGATCTCTGCAAACCAGCACCCGATAAATAAATGGTCTTAAGTTTGATCATAGATCGATTTCACCCGGATGAGGACTGAGATCCAGAGAGCACTAAAGTTAGAATTCATGGACTATTGGGTTCTCTCCTAACGGCTAAATGGGCAACAAAGTTGTCTCGTAACCTGAAGGTTTTGTGTACGATCTCTAATAGGGTTGACCATTGGCATTCAATCAAATCCGTACAAAGTAACACTTTAAAATAAATACATATAAAACTAAATCAACCATAGTCTTAACCAGGTTTGGTTACGTGATCAGCAATAATATGTACGATCTCGCCAGTTTATCTAGAATTTGGTTATTTTCTTAAATGTGCATTTCCCATTGGTGTATACTCCTTCGTGTGCGTTTATAGTGAATCGGTTCATGAAATTTAAACTTATGTTTAGTTGCAAATATCTCTGAACTTATTCAATTAACACTGAAAAAGGCTACAGTTTACAGTTCCCTTCTTGGTAAGCTGTTTGTGCTGCACCACTCTTTAACTGGCACTAGACATATGAATTATTCAGATTTCAGTGGTAATTTCAATGTTTAAGTCCACAAGCTTGACACCACTAACTGACTGGTTTAAACGTAGAACTTTACACCGATGTGCAGCAGTCCGAGTCTCCACAATTCAGTCAGCACACAAAGCCAGAGAAAGAGAAGAAAGTAAAAAGAAACGCAAAATAGAGACAGTAAACAGAGATGTGAGACAAAAAGAATAGTAATATCCAAGAAAAATACAGTTTTATTGGATACTCTAAGTCACAATGAGTAGATGCATCTGCGCTGTCATTGAGAACGATTTTGAGCCATATCATCGATTGTCTCCAGCCATTGCTGTTTACCGTCCTGAGGACCCAAACTAGCCAGGAATTCTCCACCTCCCTACGTGACTGGCTGGCTTAAACTAACTGTTGTGGATTTCATTGACTGATGAAGCCACGTTTTTGTTAGACCACCACTAGGTCCTTTCCAGCTTTATCAATCCTATGTCAATTACCATTACCTGTTGTCGAGGAAGACTATGGTTAGGCATGCATGCGTAAAATAGCACATGTCCTAACCATCTCAACAGATGTAAATTCACAGCCTCGTCAATTGATTTCCCCTCCTTACCTAGCACTCGACGCCTAACCTTAATATTGCTCAGCTTATTATACCACTTCACACGGGAGATAGAACGCAGGCACCTATGATCGAAGACAGCCAATCTTTTCATGTCTTCTACTCTCAATGGCCAGGTCTCACAACTGGCCATAAAGGAGGACGGAGCGGACTGTTGAGCAGTACACACGTCCTTTGGTCGACAGCCAGCCAGATGAAACGTCTACGGCAGAGACGGTGTAAACTGGCATATGCGAAACTAGCTTGACGCAAACACATGGTAAACTACTTAAACATAACTGAAAAATATCTTCTCCCTTTGAGTGTGCAGTGTGTGACAGTCTTACTTTACTGTGAAATACAGACTGCTTCAAACTTATTCAGCACCTGTAAGTGTAGTATATACTTCGCACAGTATAAATGCAAAGTCCTCTTTAAAAAATTTTCGGGAGCCTGAAACCACTTTCATTATCACAGGTGAACTAATAGAGGTAGTTGAACTTTTAAGTGTCTAGGTAGATGTGTCAGTATCGAAAGAAGTATGCCACATGAAACTTCCAGTTTCACACCAAAAGCCAAGGCAGCCTACTGAAATCTAGGCCACTTCTAACGTCATCATTATGTTAGTTTAGCTAAAACATGGCACCATTAAATGAAATCCACAACAGTTAGTTTAAGCCACATTGGAAGGTGGAGACATCCTGACTGGTTGGGGTCCTCAGGAGGGTAAACACCAATAGCAAGGGTTGGAGACAATTAATGATATGGCTCAAAATTGTTCTCAAAGGCTGGCTAAGATGCATCCGCTCCTTGTGACTTATAATTTCCAATGAAACTATATTGTTCTTCGATATTACTATTCTTTTTGCCTCATATCTCTGTTTACTGTCTCTATTTTGCGTTTCTTTTTACTTTCTTCTCTGGCTTTGTGTGCTGAGTGAAGTGTGGCGACTCGAACTGCTGCACATCGGTGCAAAGTTCTATGTTGAAACCAGCCATTCAGTCAGTCAGTTTAGCCATAGGTTGCTGGGTTTACAATGCTTCACTGAGTGTATTGAAGCAGTAGTTATATATATCTAATTATAGAGGTCCCTGTAAAATTAATTATATACGTCAGTCTTATATCCTAAATAGTTCTGACGTCACACTGTTTGTTTCTGGAGGTTATTTTTGAATAGATGATGCCATTTTGAGACGCCAACTTCCGTAGCTTAAACATACCCTACGAATATTATCTCGAAGATTTTCTTATCATCCACTCTTCTGTAACTGTGAGAGAAATTGACAAGTGAGAAGGCATAATTATCCCATGACATGATATCAGGGGATAAAGGATAATCGTGTTAAGTTAGCATCTACTTTTGTATCACCAATCTCCTGATGAGGTCCAGGAGATCATGTTACGCAATAGCTTGAAGGGTTTTTAGACACATCTCAGAATGAAAATCAGTGGCAAATTGGCAGATAGTTTCCTCCTTTCTCTTACCTACCTTGTACAAGTTCACGAACTATATAGCGCGACCACTTCGAAATGTCTTCTTCGATGAGTAACTCCTCACCTTCAACCTGATGTACCCTATTGGTCACGGCTTCCCACTAGAACCCCAAGCAACCGCCTAAATAGGGCCAGTCGCTAATGGGTATCAGAATAATGTTCAGGTATTACTCTTTTAGGGATTTTGTTTGACTGGTTGGAGGATTTGATTATGAGCTGATATCATGAATTGGCAGAAGTGAGAATTCATGGGCTAGCCATTGGATCAGGTCCCAGTGGCTTAATGGTCTACGAGCTCGCTAGCCTTGTAACCAGAAGGTTCCTGGTTTGAAACCTTGCGGTGGGTGCGTACTAATGAAGAGTATCAAACTAGGACGAAACAGCTGTCCAGTACTCTCAGCGCATTTTGCAACGATTCTCTGACTGATGTCAGCTCATGATGAAATCCTCCAACCAATCATTTCTGTGACGATTCTTCCTCTGTTCAATACTGCTGAGCTTTAAAACTGACTCAACCTTACCTTGCTTTGTGATAATAGGCTACCACAATCAGTGAGATAATTTGAGCTTATTCTAGATCACTTAAGAGAATCACCTGGTCCGTAATTAGCCATATTTTTGTGTTTAAACACTCTGGCTGACCTAAACCAACTAATTTTGGTTCAAATTCAACCTTAATTCTAGCATTTATTGAGAATCCTAATTGAAACATCTGGTATCTTATCAAGAGAATAATGCCGCATAAATGTGTACCACCTCAAATAAACAAAAGCGGCTCAAAATTATGCTCTACTACGGAGCCTAGGATCTCTGTTGTTTAGACTAATAGACCTATTTAATTTCAAACCCTTAGTTACTAATGAATTCCAGAAGATAGCGCTCTTCGGTTTAAATTAACCTGTAAACTACTCTTGGCTCCCAATCATTGATAGGAATTTCTTGTAAATTCAAACTGACTAACAAGTTATTGACACTAATATTACGGAAAACCTTGGACAAAAGTTGAAGGGAGCTCCTTTCAAGTTACTGGAAAGACTAAACTTAAACTTGCATACCTTGATTATTTGCCATAGCAGTCCCAATAATAAATGTCTAGTTCCATTCCAAATATCACCTGCTCCAATATTAACCACATTGCAACCAATAGCTCTTGCACTGTTCAACGCTAAAGTTATATTCTCATGCATTTGAAAAGTAGTTAAAGGCAAGTGCCTATTCATTGCACGATGATCGATTGTCTTAGGTATAGAACAATTGATAATTTTGCTAAATAAAATGTATAAGAAATAATATGGGGATTAGAAGACACACAATGGAATCAACTATATCAGATAAATACTGTCCAGAGAAATTGTTTTATACCCCAAACAGATGAGATGGAGATTTTTATTAAAAAGAATGTTCTTGGTTTGTTACGAACATAAGTTAAAAGTGGGTATCAGGTGACCCACACTCCAGGTAAGTTTTGGTGGGTAATCTTTCGGTTGCAACAAACATAATCCTACAATCGACATAGGATGAGTAAATAAAATAAATGATTACATGATTCATCTATGACTAACACAGTGAACATTCTTGTAGGACTGTACCCACCGAGACCAAATACAACCACATTTTGAAACGTTTGGTTGCGTAAAATTATGGTGGTTTTCTGTTGACTTGTATGCAATAAAATATAACTGGAATGCTACAGGACGTGTATTTTTTACTAGGGAATAGAACGCATTCAATGCATGAGTGATAATACTGTTAGGCGGAAAAGTAAGGAGGATTTCAGTCTGTTCATGGTGATATTTGTCAAATGCCAAAAGTAGCAAAAGTTATAATTTGTAAACATAGACGAGGACATTTTGGTTTTAAGTTACGACACTTAAGAGAAGAGAGAATGCAGGCTGTTTTTCAAATTCCACTTTCTAATTCAAGATTTTGATTAATTTACCTGAAGTGGCGTGCCAACGATAGCTTGGAAGTGTGAGCACGTTAGGTGCAAAACGTAGATTCTAGCCAGTTCTGATTTTAAAAGTCTATTAACATCTTGAAAAAGTTTTAAGCGTACTTCCTAAAGCAGTTTGCTAAGACAAGTCTACTTACTTAATATGATTATCTCTGATAAAAAGCAGTAGTTACGAAATTGAAAGAAATTGAACGAAAAATGTGGTGAACGTTTTGTCATCTGCAAAGTGAAACATTTAGCGAATTGGAACAGCTAATGCCACGTCTTGTGTTAATTAAGAAAATCTACATATTACAGTCCCATATTTTACATGTCTAGTGCATAAAATTTATTTGCTGAAAAGGAAATTTGTAATACCTAGTCAAATGCATGCTAAGAACCTGAACTTAAGTAACCGGATATCTGCTTAAGTTGAAAGAAGTAGAAGAGAGAACTAATTTTCAAATTCACCCCTTACTAGAGTATACTTGGTATCCGTTTACAACCCAACTAAAATTCTTAAATATAAATAATAAGGAATAATGAATATTTTTAGTGCACTCTAGTTGGTTTCACCGGGCAACCAGTGAAATGTATTCACTCATTTTAAATTAGAACTAACTTTCATATAAGAAGGTCTATTTTACGATATTCTTGACCAAGGTATAAAGTTAAAAGTCCTACTTAAGACATTAAAATTTAATTAGAGATGAAACTTACCACAAGATTATACCATCTTTACATTTCTCATATAAATCACTGCCATCAGGCTGAAATGGGAAATAACATTTGCATTCAGGATCATCTCGTAAGTTTCTATCAAAACTTGTAAAACAAGCAGATATTTTTACCTCTCAATCCAGCTAGAAAATCCAACTTGTTCTTCTTCACTGACACTGTGTAAGGTGTCATCATCCACTGCACCTCCACAAGTTCCATAATGATACAAATTAGATTTAGAACCAGCATTTCCTATAGCGGAAACCATTGGATCCCCTTTACATGCCTCCTGGTAAATCTGCAAGAAATGTTCCCTACTAAAGGAATTTAAGTACCCTTTTGAAATCATAAAAATTTATTTTATCACAATTTTCACTGATTTCAGCTGCCCTGACTGCTTTTAAAATTTCCGATTCACTCGATTTACAACCAAGCTTTCTCAGAGCAGGAACAATATACTTTATATTCAAGGACCCTACATTATCAATATCAAACTGCTAATAAGTTCAGGAAAAGTAATGATTTTACCGATCCAAATGCTTCCAAGAGTTCACTGTATCGAGTAATTCTTGCTTCGCGATGACTATCAAGTTCAAACATTTTCAAAAATGAGAGTATATGTAATCGCGGAAAGTCATACACGTGATGCGTATAAACAAATTAAAGTTTCAATTAACAGAACTCCTAATTTTCCCGCATCATGCAGTAAACGATGAGATACCTAGAATTCGTTTATTATTATCTACCTTTCTGACCACCTGACTGACCGGGGAAAGAAAGATGTCCTCTCAATAACAGATACTAATATAGAATGTCAGTGTCATCGAAGTTATTCCATGTAACTTCACCACACATATTAAGGCAGGTTAATCTGTCTAGATAGAAGATTTTTCATCTACTTTATTAAAACTTAGTCGTACTAAGCACAAAGAGGATCTCACATGGCTGTGACTTATCTAAAATCTCCATTCTACCGAACCTTAGGAAAGCTGGTATAAAGACAGTTGTTTCCTTTACCTCATCAAAATAGTGAAACCTAAATCCGAAAGTCCTTGTACGGTATGCATAGGCTTTATTCAACAAACAATAAGCTATAGTAACCCAACCCTACATCCCATGGACTGCCCTTCAGGGAAGAGCACATTATTCATCAAGGAGAAACCAAAATATTCGTAGTAAACTTTCTCAGGAGGTCCAGTCTCAGAACACCACCATGAGAACTCCAGAGATCAGGAAGGTCTACACGATAGCCAGAAATAGACCTATTGGCACAGTCCGCCAAGTAAAGACTGGAATTTGAAGTGCACCTAGTGTAAAATTCAGCCAGCACCCTAAGAAATTATTCTCGTGTATAAATCTGTAGGACGGGGCTGCAAACTGGACTACTAACACAAGAAAGCATGAGAGATAGCCAAAAAATCAGCACGAACCAAAGATATGCAACAAAGTGCTTTCAAGTTCATATGGCAAGACAAATGGCTACTATTTTCAGGCCATCTTTCACGCGACAAGCACCTAAGCTCAACTAAGGAGATAATGTAGTCATCAGCTCTCATGAGGATAGATTCAGGAGTTATCTCTCAAATCTACCAGCATCAGCGAATGAAAGAAGCAATTATTATTATGACTCTCATAAACTTTTATCTAATTCGTTGTCATTTAAAACTTTCTGATAAACCCTACGTTAGCAGGATGGTAGGTAGAATGAGTCCAGTAGTAACAAAAGACCCATGAGCTTGAATTTTGAAGAATTCCGCTAGGCATCTGACAAGGTGAAACGCAGCAGACTCCTCATGGAACCAGAAAGTTTTGGAATCTAAACAGCCCATCCATTTCGACAGATGAATTTCTTGTTAGTAGGGTACAGGGATTAAGAGAAAACTCCAAAGTTCCCCCCCAATATGGTACATCCGGAATGCCGCAGGATTCTGTGCACTTTGCTGCCACCCCGGTACTCAACAATACATCAGGCACAGCATCAATAAATTATGTATCTGAGGGTCAATTGCATTGAAAATCATCCTTATACTCAAGCTAATGTTAGCTGGAGTGTCAAAAAGGATATCCCAAATGATACTGAGGTGGTAGATATACACCTGCATTCAGAACATGGAGTTGAGCCGTCTCCCTTGCATTTGCTTACCTAAGTCAGTCAGAAGACCTTAATAGTAGAAAATATGCATTCGCCTGCGTTTGGAAATCATTTGTTTCAACTAGAAGTTCATGATAGACAAGCTGAAGTGATCCAATAGTCTGAACTGTTCGTAAATGTGGGCTATCGTAAAGCCGGTTTAAGACGATGGCAGAGGACTGAGTGTAGTGGAGACTGGTTGCCGTGTTCACTGTGAATCTGCCCCAGGGAAATAATACCACACATACTTGCAAGAGTTGTGATAACCGCTTTCAAAACAGAGGCAAATGCACAAAATTTCCAGAAATCAAAGATATAGAAGCAATCTAAAGAAACCTACAATTTACTGCCTCCCATGAAATGGAGCGGGGACCGACAAGGAACTTTGTGACTAAGAAGTTCAGATAACTTCTTTGAAATGACGAAATTTGTCTGATTAGACCAAAAGTACCATGTGAGTTACTTCGCTACTGGCTGTAGCCTTGTAACTTTTCAGACAGCCAAGCATCTATTGTTAAAACCAAATTGAGAGATTCATTTCCTGGTCTTCTGCCTATTTTAGAGCCAGACTAGACTTTACTCTTATGAAGTTTTGAAGTGTAGTGCAAGGCTCAGACTCAATTATTTTGTGTTTTATAGATGTCTGAATGAGTATTTTCGCTATATTGAAATCTGAGCATCATTTTGAGTTAAAAGTACTCAACGAGTATTTGAAGTATAGCGCAATGCTTAGGCTCAGCTATTTTGTGTCTTATGAAGTTATCAAGAAAAATGCAATTTATATGAGAATTCGGATGATTCGAACTAATCTGGCTCACTGACAAACTAATTCAAACAAATTAGGCTGCCAATGGCTCAGCCTCAAATGAGAGGGATCACCGTGGAATATAAATATAACTTCGATCTAAACATCAAGCACTATTTGTTTCCGACTATTATGTCAGTCATCTATACATATCCCCGTACTATATCTCTGCCTTTATTGATTTCCATTTACGGTCTCAGGCGGATTATATATTTGACCGTAATATTTTCGACCACAAGGAAAACTATCCAGTACTTCAGGTGAATATAGAGAAGACGGAGGTGGCGAAAGTAACTAACCAACAACAACAACCTGCGCTGATCGCTATCAAAGGAAGGCATTTGAAAAAGGTCACCTACTAAAGTTCTCTGGGGAGCGTTTTTTCAACCGCAGGCGATCGGCATAGATGAAGATTTCAAGACGAGAGTCGGAAAGGAAAGGTGCACCTCTATCACTTTGATATCAGTTCGCAAACCCGTTACACTCAGTATAAAGAACAAGGTTCGGATTTTCAACGCAAATTTTAAGTCAGTCACTTCTTCCATATGTATCAGAAACTTGCTCACGCTTTGCGAAATGCACCTCCAACAGTTTGCATACTTTTACCATCAGCTGCCTTCGCTGGCTCCTTATAGAAGAACAAATAGACAGGAAAAATCAGCAACAGGAAACTATAATAATGAGCCAATCAAGGACCTATTGGTGAACAAATATTCCAAAGCAAATGGAGATGGATCATAAATGCGCTACGGAGACCATCGAATGACATCGCTCTCTAGGCTACTGCGCGATTGGAACACGAATCGGAAACGCCGAGTTGGGTATTATTCCGAGGTTGACATAGAGGAGGTCGTACCATGGAAAGATCAAGGATTATGGCCAACTGTGGAGCCAGATGAAGAAGAGAGCAGAGAAAACAACAAAGGATGGACGTGAATTTAGATCCCAATACTCCACTCGGAGCCCGAGAGAATAATAACAAAAAAGGAAGCTGTCATGAAATTTCAATTCACACTGTGTAATGTGAAAAGTGAGAATTCCATTCTACATACTCTGGAAATCTAAATATAATTAAAGAAACTTCAGGGCTTACCACTTCCACATGGTTTCTATCTTGCGAAAGATCAATATCCCTTTACTGAGGAAGACCAAGTGCAAGTGGTTACCCATATTCTCCAATTTTTCCACTCACCTTTTCACAAGGTTGTTCAAAACGAGGAGCCCTCTGAAGCAATCAACAGTTACCAAGCAGGACGCAACAGCAAGGAACATCCATGAGTGCAAGTACCAGTGGATTCAAACTAACGTCAATACTTTTGTTAAAAATCCAATCACTAATATATATACACATAGTTCCCTAGCTTATAATCCTAATATAAGGCTGAAAAGGTTAAACCAAGCTCCCAGTGCAGGACTAAGCAGTCGCAAATCAATGGCATGGATGTCTTCTGTGAACTAAAATTTGTAATCACTAAGCCTTCACTGTCCTTCCAAGTAACATCTACAGCACTGACCCTAGCATGACGCCAAAATTACTCAAGAAAATCTCAGGAAGATTCTGTCATATCCTCTCTCTCCTTATGATCATACTGGAAACAGAAATATGTGGCATTTCCCTGCCAGTACAGCCCACCGATAACTAGGGCTTCACAAAAGTTTCCTGGCCTGTTATAACTTCTGAGCTTCGATCTACTTTATTTCCATCATTCAGAAATGATAGTCTCCATGCTCAAGTATAACAAAGCTTACTGCTCTGTGAATGGCTTCTGTTATGATGACGTGGATGTTGAAGATGCTATCCATAACATCTTACGTGGCCTAAGTGATTGTAGTGAAGAACATCAACTAGATTTCGACACAGATAAGCGCTGTACAGCTTACTTCGTACGCTGAAAGCATAATTTATGCGTACATATGTACGGTAACAATACGGCAACTATAGAAATAACCAAACTCAAAAAAACGATGAAACCATCACCACGGAAAACTGACCGAGATACCCCAATGGACATGGACGCGGAGTCGCCTGCCAATTCCAGAAGGGATTACTTTGTCGAGCTACCAAAGGACGACGACTTGAGCGCATGCAAGGACAGGTGTGGAATCACTCCGTTGTCCAATCCGAAGAAACGGTGGGCCATATCATTTTCGAAGGACTGAAAGATCAATATGGTGAAAAATTCCTTAAGGAATAGGCCAGTTCCAGAACTACCAGATCATCATTATTATTCCCTTGGGTTCCATTTGGAACATAAGGCTTCAACCACACATCTCCGCCATCTTATATTTTTTGCTGTCCTCTTCATCTGGGTCTACGACTGCCAATAATCACTCATGTCCTTTTCACAATATCTCCTCCATGTCACACTCTCACAAACGACCCACTCGTAACTTCCCACTAGGATTCCACTCGATGGCCTGGCGCACGACGTTATTCGATGGCCTCCTCAACGTATGCCCAGTCTGTCTCCATTTTCTAAATATTTGCCGAGCAATCGGCTCTTATTTGGTTTGTTTACAGCCAGAGTTTCTTGTTACTTATTCTTCCTAACCAATTGATCTTCAGAGCCGACGAAGATAGGCTTCCGTGACATGCAGTGCAAGTTTCTCACTCTTATAAAAGGACCGACCTGATCACGTCAACATTTGTGTTGAAAATGCGAATCATGTTCTTCATGCTAAC